GTTTATCTCTTTATTTGTTTTGAATATAAAATGCACTCAAGGCTGGAACAAAGCAAGGAGTTGTAATAAGGAAAGTTTTGTATTAAAAATACACTTTATTATCAGTATTTTGTTCAGATATGATTTCTTGTCAGCTCTAGACATGGCAAGAGTATTTTCTCCAGTTCTTTCATTTGTGTTTATTTGACAAATACTATTTTTCACATATCAGTGATAATGAAGTGTCCTCAGAGAAAAGACATCTGTGTTTCAGAAAGCAAATTGTTCATATTCATGTCTGTGTGGAATAGTTGTGAACTCAATCTTATGTCTTATTGTTGAGGGATATCTGCATCATTTGACAGTGTGAGTAATCTTATCTTGCATAAGAAATGCAAAGGTTATTTAGACTTGTTGGGTGTGTTAGGTTGTAATGAGTCTGGCACAAAACATTGGTTCTAAAACTTCTCAACTTCAACCTGTGCGGCAGACCCAAGTGTTTTGATGTTTAAAATCACGTCTTTTTGTCAAGTGTCTTTGTTGAAATGTTCAAAAAAGGCAAATCATTTTTGCCTAAAAGGGCTCGACTGTGAATTTATAATGATAATGTTTAGTGGGTATTTGTTAATAACTTTCCATTGCAATCTTAATACAATGTGGTTTGAAACAACTCTGACAAAAATCAATAAAGAAATGTAATGTGCAGTCTGTTACATTGATTTCTCAGTCAGAAACTCAGACATTTTATTGGACAGTTTGAATCCAGTTTATTGCACAGTGGTTTATTATCACCTGTTAGCTGAAGAAACCACAGTACTGATAACCACTGTCAATCTGTAACTATTGTATTATTGTATACTACAGGAAAAATGTATTGGTAAAACAATTTTCATCTCACACGGTTATATTTTCGCCTTTTAGAGGAACCTGAAGTTATGAAAAATAACTTAGAAATACATAAACAGAATTGGAAACAAATTAAGGCAAAATCTTGGCTGACATAAAAGGTTTTTCCGAGGAGGAGGGTACTGATGTAACAATCTTTATGTAATAAAGGCCATAACAAAACAATGGCAGTTCAGAAGATCATGAACGCAAGGTTTTTATCCTCTTGTTTGGAGGCTCTGAGTTTGACTTTTTGGTGGCCATTTCTGTGGTCTTATCCTCTTCGTCACTGTCCTCTTCCTCTTCATCTATAACATGGGTTTCAAAAATAGAAAGAAGTTACAAAAATTAGACAATAAAATAATTATGACAAAATATAATGACGTTGACTTAATTGTAATAAGAATATTGAAGTAATAAAGTATTTGTAGTGAGTAAATAAATAAATGTTTGGTCACTATAACAAACGACAGAAGGCAGTATCAGTAAAGTTAAGGAGCTCGCTGGCATATGAGGGGAGACTTTTAGCCACCTTCGTAATCTTTATTGTATGTATTTTTCATTTATTTTTTATTTTAAGTCTGTTGGTTTTCCATAATCAAGCCAGTCTTCATTTTAGCAGCTTACCATCTACATCTGCTGTG